CCCCAAGGGTACATTTCAGTCCTTGGGTTTATTTTCCATTTGAAGAAACTTAAAAAAAAAGAGAATACACATACTGAACAGAAACAAGTAGGTGGTATTTGAAAAACATGTCACCTACTTACTTGCTCTTGCCTTAACTCAGCAAATGGTAACTGGTTCTGGCATCCAAGATGGCAAGCATATTGTTCATCAGATTGGGAGTATGCTTCAGTACAGGCTGCAAGGGAGAAGTTCCCCAAATGAGATGATAAATTCTGCATTTTAGTTAAGAAAACATTCTCAGTATAAGTTGGATCAGAAACAAAGCAGCAGTTAAAAGACTGACAATCCCATTTGCAGGGAAAGATATGGCAATCACTCCCAGGGTAGCATTTGCTCTGAGGTCTAATGACAGAATCAGAGCTTTAACAGATAAGGGAGATGAAATCTGACTGCAATCAGAGCAACTGGGCAGCAACGTTACCCTGGCCGAGCTCAGGGATGCAAGTTTTCATTGATCCTCCCACTACCACTACAGCTTTTCCTCTACATATCATATAAACCATCAAATTTTACCTCAGAGAACAGAGATGGAATCCTAATAATCCCAGAGGGACCATCAGTCCATTAAACCCCTGTGAGGTAACAGCACAAGTCATGGTATCACACTAAAATCAAATGAGCATCCCCTGTTAGCACAGAAACTGCACTGAAAGTACTATAGAATAATTTCTTATGAAAAATGAAGCCAACTCTTTGTTTAATAGATAGCTTCTATTCACTGTTGACTAGAGATCATAAAGATCAATAAATCTAATTCAGAGAGAATAATTTAGATTGCTCTGCCATAGAGAAATCAGGGAGAGCTCTCCCACAAAACTCTAAAGCTCAGGTGGACAATGTTGCAGTAGCACCTGAACTAAAGAATCAAACCGAGTAGCAACAGAGAGGACAGTAGCTCTCCCAATTTTCCAGAGGAACAAATGGACCATCAGAAAGACTAAGAAGCTGGCAGGAAGCATGGCACCAGCAGCTAAGCACTTGAGAGTTCAGCTCATGGCACCTGAGCAGCAATTCCATGCTGCAACTGCCACCAAGGCAGTGTTTGTAGGAGGCATCAGGAGACAGAACTGAGCAGATCAGCCAAGATGTATCTGCCAAGCACAGAATACTCAGTCAGGGCACCCACCAGCAGGTTATAGAACATAAGCCAGCAAAACAACAGCTCCATTAAGGAGAGTCAAACCAGAAATAAGCAACTGTTCCATTACTCTACATGTGCTCTATTGGTACATTACCCTGTTTCATGGCACTCTTTCGTGTGTGGTTTGACAACTAGACTGACATGCTGGATCACAGCTACACACAGTGTGTGACAGACTAGAGCATTAGCCCATTTCTGGAGCAGTTAATGAAGTTTTGTGTCACATTAGCATCTTTGCAAGTCAGGCTTTCTACTTCCCTACCTGCCATCAGCTCCTTGAGCTGGCCATGAGCTCTCCTGTTTCTATGAGCTACTAAGAGGATAAATGCCTCCCTTGAGCACTGGCCTGGTGCGTAACTGTATCGGCAATAAAGATGGAGAGCTCCCACCTTTCCTGCTCTGCATAAAACTGTGACTCAGCTGCCTCAATATTACTGGAAGAAAGTTCTATACAATTCCAAACCCACTATTAATTGACCCATAGTACACACCATACCCAGAGGTATTTAAAAGACATGGTTTAGTGGGTGCCTTGGCAGTCCTGGGGAACAGTTGGACTCGAGGTCTTTTCCAACTTCAATGATTCTACATTTCATCTTCACTGTGAAACTTTTGCTCTAAACAGATAACCCCGAGAGAATTAGTTCACCAGTATTTAAAGGCTTATTCCAAACAAAATGTACCTAATTCCCAAGGGTTTAGCTGTAAGGAAAGCTCAGGATGTAGCCTAAACCATGATTTACAAGGCACAAGATCTGTGTTCTTATTCCATCTGAACAATTCACTTCTATACTTAAGTTTGTCAGGAATGGTAAATGGGACTGATTGTCACATAAAAGGAAAACTATTTGACTGGATTTTTTTCCCAGTCATTTTGTGTTTTGTAGGACAAACTGCTTATAGTAAAATGAAGTATTTTGAATTTATTTCCTGATGACACTTAAGACATTCAACAACACTAAGGATCAGGTAAGGAGAAATCAACAGAGAACAGAGATTCCCGCTCTCCTCCCTCCTTTATGCCTTCAGATTACAGGATGTTGAAGGAGTTCTGAGGTCTTACCAGAGTCACATTCCTGTTTGGTCCGATTCAAATCGGCGCCATCGTCCACGAACTGGCAAATGGAGAACAGCCTGCAGCCCCTCTGGCAGGCGTACAGCTCCTCTTCCTGGGGAGGCACAACAACAGGTTTGCATCCCTCCAGTCCAGAACAAATTGCCAGAAAACATTTTTTTGTTGTTTGGTTGGGGTTTTTTTTGTCCTCCTCCTCTCCACCAGACCTACGACCCAGCTAAACATGACCTGAAGTAAACCCAAGCCACAGCTCTGTAACACTGACATCCCTATGGATTTAATTCAAACAGAGCTCTCCATTCTGTGGTGGGCAAACCTGGAACAGCAAACTGTGTTTTGTAATTCCAATCCTACAATCCACAAAGTGAACTTTTTACCAAATGCTGTGTTTAAAACTAAGAGACAGTGCTCTTAGAAAGGAAAAGATTTACTCATGCTTAACCCTACAAAGAGCAGAAAATCTCTGGTATCACTTAAATAGTAGAACCCAGAAGGAAAGGACAAAAAAATCCCCGATTTTGACAGTGATTACAATGTATCTACCAGACTCTAGTCAGAATCACCACAGAACTGTCAAAACAAGAGATTATCTTCTGAAGTACTACACCAGTACCCTGGTTAATTGTTTGCTGACAAACCAGCTCCAGAAACATAATTTTTTTTTATAATGAACTGAAGGGAAAAAGTGCTTTCTCACTGCAACCATTAAAATTAAGCAAATACAGAAATCCTACACCTGGTATGTCTTCTGTCCACAAAGGCAAGGGCACGGATGTGCACAGACTGGGTTCTCCACCTTGCAGAACTAAAGCCTCTGTCACGTGAGTGTCCTACCTCTGACCACACCCTGTCACTGACCCGTGAACCAGACCAACGAAACCATCACCCACTCAAATGACTGCACAGGTGGCAAACAAGACTCTGAATTAATTTAACAACCACCAAACACACCACACCTCATGTACAACCTGCTGTAAATGACCTGGCCACTGCTGAGAGCACCGGTTCGCACACTTTAAAAGGCACAAGAGCAGAAAACTGTGAATATAAATTAAAACTCAACTCTAACACTGACAAGGTGGGTGATGCTGTTGCAGAAAATGTGTTCTGTAATTTAATATCCATAGAAATCAGCTCCAGCAGACAGGTTTCTATGGCAGTCTCGATGAAGTTTGTCTTACTTTCCAGTGACAACTAAAATGATTTCCTTCAATTCCACCAGTAGTTTTGTGACAAACAGAACAAACACTAAATGTAAAGAAAGGGGTGAGTGTATTAGTCCACAGCTCCAACAACACGCACCAAAATTCAAATTCAAAAAGTAACAAAATTCAAAAGTACAATAAAACCCAAAGAAATATCAGCCTTCCTTGAACTTGACAGAGTCCTGCAAGGGAAGTAAACCAATGCACCAAAACAATGGAAATATATTAGGGTAATGTTTAGCCTTAATTTCTCGGGTTTAGTTCTTCCTCTTCATGTAGGTACCAAAACATGCCATAAGTACACATGTAAGTTTACTAATATTCCAAACAACTCCCTGTTACCTGTTTCCGTGGGGATACCAATATCAGCTGCAAAATCCACCTGAATTCCACAGGAAAGCAGGCAAAGCCCTGTTACCCAACCCTGGCACTGCTCTACTTCCCTGCTACCCTCCTGTGAAATCCCAAACATGGGGTAAGAGTTCCACTTGCTACAGAGCCACAGCTGATAATGAAGTTTATTGCTAACAGAGAACCAGGAAGGATAAGATTTTGGGTCCTGGATTTTCCAAATTCAGGCCTGCAGTTCAAAGCTGTGCAAAGCCTGAACCAACAGCAAACCCTGCGGTACGAAATTCAATTCCCATCAGACACTATTCCAGTACTTTCTCATGAGATGAAAAAAACTCCATGAAGGCTCTGATGAGCCACTTGTTTGTGTCACCATTTATGCTTCATCCTTCACCACCCAAGTGCACCGCTGGCGCCCTGACTCAGGATCTCTGCCCTGCCACCAACGCAGCTCTGTTTTAGTGCCCAAGATATGCAGCAGCCCAAGCCAAATTACAGCTGCCTCTTTAGGAACAGGAGGAAAAAAAGCAGCAACCACACCTCCCCCCCCAAACCCACAAAAGCACCCGGGACTGACAAAACCGTGCTTTGAAAACAGCGCTTCACTGGCAAGCTGCAGCCTAACCATCTATTTCTATAAGGAAATATATTTCTTCTGTATTTCTTTTTAGGGAAGAGACGGAGCTGCAGGGGGAGAGGGAAAAAAGAAGGGCCGCGCAGGGTCCGGGGGAGACGGTGGGGCCGGGAAGGGCCCGCCCGTACCTTGGGGTAGGTGTGCAGGGGGTAGGTCAGCTGGCAGGCGCGGTGACACGACGCCGTGTTGCCCAGCACGGAGTCGAAGGCCTCGGAGGACGAGGCGGCGGGGAGCGGCCCCGCGGCGACGGCTCCCGTCGGGAGCGCCAGGAAGAGCGGCAGGAACAGCGGCAGCACCGGGAGCAGGACGGGGAGGCCGCCCCGCAGCGCCGCCATCTTCGTCCCTCCGCCCCGGCACCGGCCGTCCACCACCCCTCGCGAGATGTGACCCTCGCCCCGCGCGGGGTGTTCTGGGAGGTGTAGTCCGCGCGCGGGGCACCCCCGCCCATCCCATAGGGCGTCACCGCAGGGGGGAACTACCGGACGAAAATGGCGGAATGGCCGTACTACCCACCGCGCGAGGCTTGCTGGGAGGTGTAGTCCTCGTTGCGGGACAACCTCGGCCATCCTATAGGGTCTCGCACCCGGCGGAACTACCGTGCGGAAATGGCGGGACGGCGGCGGGTTCCGTGGGGGAGGGCGGCCAGGGCAGCATGGAGCGGTTCCTGGTGCGCAGTGCCCGCGGCCCGCGCAGCCCCCGCCCGGCCGCGGCCGAGCCCCGCAGCTGCCGGCAGGTCACCCTCGAGTCCCTCAAGGCAGGTCACCGGCGGGGGGAGCGGTCACTGGGCAGCGCGGGGTGGCGGTGGGAGGAGCGGTGTGTGGACGCCTGCGGTGCCAGCTCTGCACCGAAGTCTTGGCAGCCGTGAGATGGGATCCTCATAGGGAATAGGGAAGTGGAGCTATACAGATGCAGAGGGCTCTACTGATGAGTAAGATGCATCACATCCAAAATATGAGACTCGCACTCTTTGCAGTCTGTTCTGTCAAGGTCCACGGTAAAAACAGCGAAAAACCGTGGATGTGCAGTGTACTTGGGTCTGCATTCGTGTTCCCTAATGCTTTGTTTCTCACCTTGCTGTCTTTATTTTAAATTTGAAGCAAATCTGAGCAGGATTCAGATTCTGCCAGCCTACTAAAGATAATTACTTGCCTCCCTCTTAATCCATTTTCCTATTTAGAGACATTTATACAATGGATTCCTTAAATTCAAAACACTTCTTTTCTAGCAGACATTTGCTGTTACATGGCCAGAGTTTGGCAGATCAAGGTGAAGCCTCTTACTTTGCTTTCTGGTTACTTCAGTCTTGATTTGCAGAAGGTTTCTAATCCCAAGCAAGTACCCATGCTCCCAGGCCATCGTGTATTCTATGCTCTGGTCCATGCCATGATCAATAATTCACGTGTTGATAACAGCCCCATTAGCTGAGATCACTGTCCTTATTTATCATAAGAATATCCCGCTTTCCTAATGGCTTTTCTCTTTCCCAGAGAGTTGTGGTTGTGGAAGACATAAAACGATGGAAGTCTATACTTGAGCTTCCTGGGCAGCCAAAAGAGAACCTGATGGAGGCTTTGGAGGAGCTGAAGAAAAAAATACCATCCAAGGAAGTGTTACTTTCCACTAAAATAGGTATATCTTGTCTATCTAGACTGTGAATATTAGGTTGTCTTGTGTCTGCTTGGCTTGTCAGTACAAAAGAGACTAGTTTGGAAGCTTTTAAAGAAATTAGTGTCACTGCCAATGAAATATTGATATCCAGCCTGCAGTTTTCAGAGCTGGTACTGAAAAAGTCCAGCTGGTACTGAAAAAGCTGTCCTCTAATTCCTCCCAGGCAATACTGCATCACCCCTTTTTGTGGTCAGATTTTTGAAGAGCTCTTCTTGGTCCCTGTGTGTTTTATTCCTTCTCCTGCTGTCTGTCAGAGTGCTCTCTTGCCATCCAAGGCGTGGTTCATTTATATAATTTGGCTGAATCCACTGGACGTGTGAGAAATTCTCCTCAGATCACTCAGAACTGCTTCTTGCATCCCTGCCCTAAGGAATCCCCAGCAGATGGGCAGCTCCCGTTAGAGCCATTAGAGCAGCCGCATCTCTAATCACAGAGCCCTTGAAAAGGAGAAGCGACCCGCCCTTTTCTCCGTCTTCTGAGCTGTGGTTTCATTTGCCATGTTCAGGCTTTATTCAGGCTTTTCTCGAGGTTTTTCCCAGTGCCTGCCTGCAGTCGGCTGGGCTGGAAGAGCCATCGAAGCCTAACAGTGACATCTCCTGGCCAAGAGCGCTTCTGGTCAGGGAAAAACACCCCTCTGAAAGCAGGAAGCTCTCTTTTGTCTCCTCGCGGAGAAAAGCCTCTTCTGCACTGGCCCCGTCGTCGATGGGAAAGATTCTGCTTGGAGTCACCGTGGTGTTAAAATGCTACAGCCATCATGAGCAACATCTGCTTCCTTAAGGGGGTTTCCAGGTGAAAACCAGCATTTTTTGTAGGCCAAGCTCACAAGCTTTCACCAGATCCAGGATCTGTGTAAAAAAATCAGCATAGCCTTGTGTTACATAAGTGTCACTCCACACCTTGTTGACTTGGGAAGGGAATTTTCACAATTCCTAATTGCTAATTGCTCAGGCAAAAATCACAGCAGAAGCCAAAGAGCGAGAACTCCATGCTCAATGGCTAATAAATTTATATCTGTGTTTGTGTCAGTGCTCTGGTTGTTTTGCTGACCCTGCCTCAGTTAAAAATGTGTGGCTGCTTTAGCCCTGATATGATTTGGCCAGTGTCCATTGTATTTTGCCCACCTGCCAATCCCAAGGGAGCTGTTCCTGTTTTCCAGGTCACACAGTGAACAAGATGCGCAAACACTCCGATCCTGACGTGTCTGGCCTTGCCAAGGATATTTACACAGAGTGGAGAACCTTCATCAGGGACCACTCCAACAGGCCCTCAATCGAGGTCAGGAGCGATCCCAAGTCCGAGGCTTTCAGGAAGAACGCACGGAAACTGCTCTGTGAAGCCCTGGATTTGGAGGTAACGTTCAGAGCCATTTGCCTTTAGCTCAAGGAATTACTTCTTGTAGGAACAAGTTAAACCTTTCCCAGCCACAGCTACTGCCAAGCTGGTCCTGCCTGCAGAGTGGGGACAAGACCAGGTGACCTGTTCCTACTTTTAGTGATTCACAGCACATCCCTATTTATGAGCAGCTTTGTTTTCAAGGCAGATAATTTTATTTTGGTTGTTAACCAAGTCAGCGTGCTAATTGTAAGCAAGGTGTATTTGCTCTCATTTACATAACCAGTCAACAGATCAGTTGTGCATCTACTGCAGTTGGGCTATACAAGAGAAGGAAGTTAATAGAACATGAAGTTTTTCCTACTACTCAACAGCTGTGAAAGCAACAGTGGGACCTTTTGGGTGTTTTCTAATTAAACATTTGTAAATTTAAATCTATTGCAAAAACAGAGACAAGGTTGAAAGTATATAAAGTGGTGATAAATACCAGATCCCTCAGGTATCTTTAAGTAAATGAACAGAGCTTTGCTGTAAGGCTTAATGACTAGTTTGCCTGGTCTATGAAATGCCATAATAATTATCCTTTTTAACTTATCCATTAATTATCCTTTAAATGGCAAGTCAAGTGATAAGCACTCAAGAGTTTCAAAGCTATGTGTTTTCTAGCTGTGAGAACAACCTCTCCAGCTTCCAGTGCATCTGGATTGGGGCAGCACAGAAGGATGGTTTGCTGTAGGAATGCCTCAGGAAGGTGGGAGCTCACTTTTGCTGGGTCAAACCTAGTACTCAGAAATCACATCTATGCATGGTGATAAGACTGGAAGTAAAGTCTAAATCTGTGGAACATCAAGACTATGGTACCACTCTAAAATGAGTAGAATTGGGTAAAGCAGAGCTGCCTCTGGATAGGACTCACCTGAAAGCACAGCAAGGAAGAATAACCTGTGGGTACCACCACATGTGCAAGCAGAGCTCACAGCAGGACTTAAACTGCTCATAAAGGCAGAGGAACCACAGAGGTCCAGCAAATGGGGAGCAGGGACACCTGAGAGGCTGACAAAAAGGAGAAGGGAAGGTGGGGCTGAGTGAATCCGAGGGACTTTTAAGTGATGGGTAGCAAAACCGGCATGGGCAAAGGACTCAGAGGAATACCACCTGGCTAACTGGAATCTCCTGCATGCAAAGCATGGGAGATTCCCCCTCACAAAAGGGAAATGAAACTAAAAGCATTTCTTTATGGGTGGGGGATTTTTTTTTCCTTAACTGTGCTAAATTACAGGTTTTGGCACATGTTGAAGCAATAACTACATAATTAACATTTAGCAAATCCCTTTCTGTGTTCTTAATTACACCTCCTTCTACACACAGAGGGCCCACATTTCCCTTTATAGCACAAGGCAGAGTTGCCAAGTGTTTGGCACATCTTAGAGTTGCTGTTGGAATTAAGTTTAAAATAGTATCCAAGGTACTTTCTATCAGCAAGACCAAAAGTGAGCTTTATGGAGACACTACAGCGTAGTCTATAATTGCAGTTGAGCTTGATATCCAAAGCTTGTCACAGATTAGTTTCCTGTTGTGATGGCAAAGTACTGCCACCCAGCTGGAGATGGGGACATGTTCCTTGCTGCTGACCATGTCGCCTTGTTCCTTAATTGCTGGGGTGGAATTAAATTGCTCTTCCTGTTACACTTGTGATGGGAAGTAGATTTCCTTGAATCTAAGCTGATTAATGAAGAAACACTGAAAAGCACCAAAGTCCAATTTCAATCAGTTGGTCTCCTTATTAAATGTAAAGATCTAATTTTATACTTTGCTGTTTTCAGATTGATCACCCACTGGCTGAAAATATTGAGCGAGAAGCTTTTCATCTCTCTTCCCGCCTCATTAACGCGCCGTATCGCAGGACAGTGCGAGCTCTTGTCTTCTCATTAAAGCACAAACCTGAGATCCGAGCTGAAGTCAAGGCTGGCACACTCACTGTCCCTGCCTTTGTACAGAACCATAAAAAGTGATCCCGAGTCAGAACTTCCTGTACCTACAGCTCCGTAGAACAGGGAGCCCCTTCTGTGGTGAGGGGAGCGCAGGAGTGCTGACAGTGTGACTTGACTCTCCAGCACCACTCCATGAACAGGGCTGCTGGAGGGGAAAACTAATGATTGAAGTGGTGCTGTAAATCTGACTTGGTAGAAATCCATGTGGGTTTGTTGCAGGAAAAGTTTCTTCTGCTCTGCTGTATATTTTCCATCCTTGCTGATTCACTTGGTTCTTCTTTCTGCCCCTTTGTCACGGCTCAGTTTAGCTGCATCCCTGATGTGGGTCCTCAGGTGGAATCAGCTGAATAACATCAAGGAGCAACTCTGTGCTGTGCTGTTGGGAAATACTGGGAATTCAGGATAATTGGTCCACGGGAGGAGATTCCTAGTGGATAACTGCAAATTCTAGTTAGCCCTAAATCATCCACATCTGCTGCAGCTGGGCCCTGCCTGTGGCAAGAGCTGTTTTGCCAAGCCAGGTGATTTTCCTTTGCAACATTCCAGAATTGGATGCAAAATGGGTTTCAGTAACTTGCTCTCTATTATTCCATCAGCTCAGTCATCCTGCAATTTGGGGCATTTTCTAAAGCTCTGGAGTGAAAATCAAAATGCCCCAGAGTATAGGTGCTATCTGATGCCTCTGCTGTTCAATGAGCAGCTCACTCAGCCTTCCATACCTCACTCATGATTTAAATGTGGTGCTTGTTCCTACTGTAACGTGAAAAAACTTGTAATGAATTTTCTAAATAAAACTGGGATATAAGAAAATTATTCCTTTTAAAGGCTTTTTTTTCTTCCAAAAGGAACATGGTTCAGAATGATAACGTGAACAGATCTAAGCAACTAACTATTGTTTAAATTCCTTCCAGTTATTAAAAACTGGAAATCTTGCCTCATACTTGGTCTGATTACTTTAGTGCCACAAGTCATCTTGTTCTTCATAATCTGTGACAGACATGGTGTTTGTATCTTCACCCTAAAACGTGACTGTCTTTACTTGGATCTGCTAATTACTTTTTTCCATTGCAGACACTGGAAGAAACACCTAAAACTTACCTGAGGTGTTGAACTCCATAAATTTAATTAGGTAATTGCAGGTTCTCCTAAAAATATCTAAACCCTGTTTTGTTTGCCTGGGCCAGTGCAAGACCATTTTTTCCTGTACATATTGCAAAGCTATCCTCAAACAGCTGACTTTTCTGAAAACAAACATTTCATTTGTAGAAAACTGATGTTAGGTGTGTTGGAGGCAGAAGCTGGCAGTATGGATAATATGTCAGTGAAGACCTAACACTTGTTGACCAGGCTGTAGCAAGAGATGTGAAACCCCTCAATTTACTTCTTACAAGTAATCAGCTCCATTTCCCACTTAAATAGCTTTGAGCTGCACAGCTGTAATTGAATTCATGTATCCTGGACTGTCACAGAGGAGGTTCAGGATCAATGAGCGACCCAGCTTTTGCATCAGAGCTGCAACACCAAGACCTGCAGTATTTATTTATTTTCAGCTTTCTGTTCCTGGTGCTGGGCTGTTGTTTTCTCTAGTTAGGTAGCATGCGAGAAGCAAAAGTCCTGAAAATTAGGAACTTCTGGTCTAATGAAAGCCAGGCCAGAGAAGTTTCCCACACGGTCTGACCGTGCCAATATTTTTCACTTAAGAATTAACTTCAGGGATGCAGAGTTACTGTACACAAGCAGAAAACTCCCCTATAAATTTCCTCTATTTAATGGCTAATGTTTTTGCCCCACTTGTTTTCAAAGGGACTCAATTGTATATAGCTCCGGGTCCAGCTCTTCTATCTTGATGTTAAAGCTGGCAGTAACATTTGGGCCGAGGATTCACAGACTCACCTTTGCATAAAACTGACTGTCTGGAGGAACTGGAAAAGAGTCTGGAGGGTTGGACTCAAGACCCGCAGGACAGGAGGAATGCAGAGAACTAGGAACCACTTTAAGGACAAAAACGAAGGTGGAGAAAGAAGACAAAAACAGAGATGGAAAAGCAATAGGCCAAAAAGGGCTTCATTTTCCCAAAGGGTGCTGCTGAATGTGACAACAGGATACTTGATATCTGGCAGTAATTAAGTTTTTAATTAGACTTTAAAAAACAGAGTCCCCCCTTGGACCAACCTCACCTGCACAACTGCATTTGTTTATGCCTTGGGTTACCTGCTAAATAGGTTTGCTGGGGAAACCCTTCTAGATTAAAAGGGAGGATGAAAGGGCTGAGTGGGGGCTCCCTTGTGCTTAGTTTCTCTGGCACACCCACTTCCCTTTTTACAGGGGAAACATTAAATGAGGGCGGCACCCAATTGGGAGAAAAGTTGTACTTTTTCCCTTTTTTTCCCCTGATTAAGCCTAGCCTACAGATTTCTTTCAGCAAATGGGTACTTAAAGCTGACAGACCTCTAGAGACCTGCTGTACCTGGCAAAGAGAGGAAGGAAGCATCTTCAGTAGGTATCTTCTCCTGATCCCCCTCCCCATGCTGCTGGTGCTTGAGGAATACAGGATGGGCTCAGGGCAGCACCAGGAGGGATGGAGGAGGGAATTCACCCCTGCCAGAGCTGACTTCTGACCCTGGCTTCTGAAGAGAAAAATTTGGGAAGGCATCAGGTGACAGCTTGCTCCATTCCCCACCAGCAGGCACAGCTCAGGAGAGCTTTGTCCTGCTGCAAATTACTTGGGCAAAACAGGATGGGAGTAGACAAGACCCTCCCTGTCCTTTGGAAAGAGAGTGCGCAGCAGCTCACCTTTTTTCATCTTTCAAGAGGCTCTTCAAAGGTTTCTGCACAAAGAACCCAAGCTTTTAGATCTCATTTGCTTCTCTGGCAGCCCTGCGATATGAAGGGTTGGCCAGGCAGGAACTTTCCTCCCAAGGAAGTTAGCACACCAGGAGGGCAGGATCATAGGATGGAGCAGAAATTGGGAACTGAAGCAGAGGAGGGATAGAAGGAAGCAGAAAAGAAGAGGTAGAGGGAGGGAATTCCCCAGCCCAACTGGCCACAGCCACCAAAGCCTTGTTCCTCCATACAGGGCCCAGCACCATTCAGGAGGATGAACTGGCATCTCACAGGATGAGACACTGAGGCACGAAGGGTCTGTGATATGCCATAGGATCCAAAAAAAGGGAAGCCTATGCCAGAGTTACACTGCAATTAATGATGCCCTAATTGTGCTGGCAGCCCCTGAACCACATCCATGGTCTCTGTCAATTAAACTAGATTATGGAATGATCCTTGCTAATTATATATTATTATCTAGCAAGCAGTTATCTCCCTATAAAGGGTGCTCCTATAATGGACAAACACTGTTCCTCTAGCACAGCCAGCCCCAATGGCAAATAAAAAAAGAAAAAGCCAAAACCATTTCTGCTGTGGCAAATATTTTGCCTCAGCTCAACTTTTCGCATTGCAAACACTGCACTCCTGTCCCAGATGGAGGGAGGAAGAAGAGGAGGAGGAGGGCTGCAACATGCAGAACCAGCTGGAGACAGGAGGCAGGATCAAATCTGCACCCCCCAAACCTCCTGCAGAGGCATGATTGCAAGCTCAAAATCCAGCTGTGAACACTCCCTTCCATCATGGAGCAAATGCCCCACTCAGCCTCCACACCAAAATCCCCATGAGCGGGGGGGAGGACCTTGCTGTCCCTGGGGCTGTGATGACCGGGAAACAGGGTTTAAAATAGGCTGGGAAAACCGCTCCCGGTAAACGCCATCATTGCATTTTTAATTGTCCATATGCTTGATCCATTATGTTTTCCCAGATGGCTGGGCTGCTTGACTAGTGCCTCTTCAACTGTGCCACCACGGCCAGGATCTCCAGTGATTACCTCAGTCCCCAAGGTAGAGACACCTCCACCGTAGGATCTGTGTCACTATGACCAGGGTCTCCAGTGGGGACCAGGGTCTCCAGTGGGTACCTGGATCCCCAAGGTAGACACACCCCTGGAGCAGGCTGGCATTGCCCACCTTAGCAGGCAGGATTAGCTGCAGTTTCCCCCAGGTTGTGATGGACCGAGGACTGTTGTGTCCACCACTGTGCTGGGAGGGAAGAGGGGGAGGAGGTGGTACCTAATGGTGGTCTCCTCCCCAACACCAACCTGTCCTCAATCCATCACCAGCAGCTCAGGGGAAGCTGCCAAGCAGCCTCTTGCTGCCCCTGTGGTTTTGTTCCCCCAAACAGAGCCACCTGCCAGGGCACCTACCTGTAGATGGGCTGGCAGTACCCACCAGGCATGACCCCCTCCAACTTCCCACTGCTGTTCCAGCTGCAGTACCCGGTGCACGGGCAGTGAGCTCTGTCCTTCTCAGCACAGACCCCCTCTCAGTGTAACACCCACCAACCCATCCATGCCAAGGTCCTGGGGGGCCGTGACTGGCTTGGTGGAAAAGTTGCTGGTGGCCTCCTGGCCTTAAACACCAATCCTCAAGAAAACCACCCCAAGGAGCAGCAAACCCACTCCTGCTCCAGCCAACAAACTGCCCTTGTGCTTGCCCCAGGGCCAGTCCCTGCTAAATTAACCATAAATGTTTGAGGAGAGGATGCAGGATTAGGGAAACCTGGCCAGCTTCATTCCTGGCATTCCTGGGGAAAGGGAAAAATCTCCAGAGCAATCCCTGCTGTGGTGCTGCTCAGCCTCATACCAGGTGACTCCAGGGGGACAGCAGAGCATCGATACCAGCTCAGGCAAGGTTGGCACCCATCCTGCACCCCACTCCTTCCAAGCCTCACAGCTCTGGGGCCATCAGGGACACTCTGAGCCAGACTGGGTTCAGCTGCAGGGTTGGATTCAGCTGTGCTGAATTTGCAGCCTTAGCAGAGCCCTCCCACCGTGAGGCTCCTCACGGCTGCTCAGTTGCACCTGAATGGAGTTGCTCCAGGTGCCATGGGATTTTCCAAGGCTGCCAGGTTCTCGTGGTGTGGATCATGACATCATCTGCTTGCTGGGCTCCCCAGTGGGATGGCCAGTCCTGCCCAGTGCCCCAGGGCAGGGGGAGCAGGGTCTTATTCCAGCAGCAGTGCCCATTTTGGGGCACTTCCACCCTTGCTGCATTTGTCCAACTCAGAAGTGCAAAAGCACAGCCCCCTTCAGCACACCCCACCAGGGTGACACATCAGGAAAACCTTCTGGTAAATAGAGAAAAAATGGAAAGCATGGCTGGGATTTTTCGGATATTTTAGCTCAGCTTCTCTCCGGTGGGAGCAATTCCCCCAGGGAAGGAGACGAATAAACCAGTTGATCTCCTGGGGGCTCTTCCAGTCCTGTTTTCTATGATCTACAATTTTCCAACAGTTCTTCACTTGATTTGCACTCAGACATTTGCAGAGGGATAATGGAGGCTCTCCCTCCTGCACAACAGCAAAGCCTTTGTCTGCTCCAGAGAGACGCGACTCCATGTCCATAAGCAAAGCCAGGAAATGGGGTGGCTGCATCCAGCCCGGCACAGTCGAGTCATCGTGCTCTAAATAAATAATCAGATGAGTAACAGGAGCACTGCCTGTGCCTGCTGCTCTCCTGCTTGCTCGGGAAGCACCAAGCAAACGCTAAAGAGGGAAACTGAGGCCTGATGTGTGAGGACCACAGTCATGGTTGAGGGAAGGACCACTGGTGATGGATTCCTGATATCTCTGCCCCTCATCTGAGCGGCTTTTACATGAGAAGAAGGATTTGTTTCACAAAGTGACCAGGGCAGTCCCTCTCTCTGGGCTGTGTGCTTGCACTGTCCCCCTCCCCAGCTGGTGTGTCAGGGAAGAGGTGGTTTAACAGG